CTGTTGCGATGACTTCCAGTACTATGTTAAGTAAGAGTGGTGAAAGTGGGCATCCCTCCCTTGTTCCTATTCTTAAGGGAAATGCTTTTAGTTTTTGCACATTGAGTGTGATGTTGGCTGTAGGTCTTTCATATATGGCCTTTATTATGTTGAGATATGATCCCTCTATTCCCACATTGCTGAGCGTTTTGATCAGAAATGGGCGCTGGATTTTGTTGAATGCTTTTTCAGCATCTACTGACATGATCATGTGGTTTTCATCTTTCATTTTGTTTATGAGGTGTATCACATTTAATGATTTGCAAATATTGTACCAACCTTGCATTCCTGGAATGAATCTCGCTTGGTCATAGTGAATAATTTTTTTATGTATTGCTCGATCCAATTTGCTAGTATTTTGTGCAGGATTTTAGCATCTATCTTTATCAGGAATACTGGCCTGTAGTTTTGTTTCTTTGTAGTGTCTTCTTTCTGGTTTTGGAATTAGAATTATGCTAGCCTCATAAACTGAGTTTGGAAGTCTGCCTTCTTTTTGAATTTTTTGAAATAGTTTGAGGAGAATGGGAGTTAATTTTTCTTTGACTGTTCGGTAAAATTCCCCCATGAAGCTATCCAGCCCTGGGCTTTTGTTTGCTGGGAGAGTCTTGATTACATCTTCAGTTTCCTTAGTTGTTATTGGTCTGTTCAAGTTTTCTATCTCTTCCTGGTCCAGTTTTGGGAGACTATGTGTTTCTAGAAGTTTGTCCATTTTGCTTAGATTGTCGAATTTGTTGCCAGAAAATTGTTCATAGTAGTTGTAAATGATCTTTTGTATTTCTGTGGTGTCAGTTGTTACTTCTCCTCTTTCATTTCTGATTTTGTGTATTTGGGTTCTCTCTCTTTGTTTCTTGGTGAGTCTAGCTAAGGGTCCATCAATCTTGTTTATCTTTTCAAAAAATCAACTCTTTGTTTCATTGATCCTTTGAATTGTTATTTTGGTCTCTATGTCAATTATTTCTGCTCTTATCTTTACCATTTCCTTCCTTCTACTTGCTCTGGGGTTTTATTTTTGTTTGCATTCTAGTTCTTTAAGTTGTGAGGTTAGATAGTCTATTAGAGATTTTTCTTGTTTCTTGAGGTAGGCCTGTAGTGCTAAGAACTTCCCTCTCAGAACTGCTTCCGCTGCATCCCATAGATTTTTTGTTGTGTGTTCATTTTCATTGGTTTCCAGGAAGTTTTTAATTTCTTCCTTGATCTCCTCAGTAACCCATTCATTGTTTAATAACATGCTATTTAGCCTCTATATGTTCAAATGTCTTTGCATGTTTTTCTTGCAATTGATTTCTAGTTTATTGCCATTGTGATCTGATGAGATGCTTGATACAATTTCAATCTTCTTGAACTTGGAGAGTCTTACTTTGTGTCCTAATATGTGGTCTATCTTTGAGAATGTTTCATGTGCACTTGAGAAGAATATAAATTCTGTAATTTTGGGGTGTTATTCTCTGTAGATATCTATGAAATCCATTTGTTTTAGCATTTCATTTAGAGTCTCTGTTTTCCTGTTAATTTTTTGTGTAGAGTATCTATCCAGTGATGTTGAAGCTCCCTGCTATGATTGTATTGCTGTCAATTTCTCCTTTGAAGTCCTCCAGAAAAATTTTAATATATTTTGGTGCTCTTATATTGGGTACATATATGTTTACCAAGGTTATATCTTCCTGTTGGATACATCCTTTCAATAATATGTCGTGACCTTCTTTGTCTCTAGTTATGGCCTTCATTTTGAAATCTATTTTATCAGATATGAGTATTATTACCCCAGTTTTTTTTTCCTTTCCATTTGTTTGGAAGATTTTTTTCCATCCCTTCATTTTCAAGCTATGTGAGTCTTTTGTTCTGAGGTGGGCCTCCTGTAAACAACATATATGTGAGTCGTGTTTTCTTGTCCAATCAGCTATTCTGTGTATTTTTATGGGAACATTCCATCCATTTACATTTAAGGTGATTTTTGATACACATTTATTTATTGCCTTTTTTGTTTAGTGCAGTTATATCTTTCTTCCTATTTCTTCTATTAATTATAGCAGTCCTTTTAATATTTCTTGTGGTGCTGGTTTGGTGCCTTTTTTTTTTTTTTGGTCTGGAAAGCTCTTTATTTGACCTTCTACTTTGAACAATAGTCTTACTGGATAGAGTAATCTTGGATTCAGATCCTTATTTTTCATGACCTTGATTACTTCATGCCATTCCCTTCTGGCCTGTAGTGTTTCTGTTGAGAAGTCAGCTGACAACCTTATGTGGGTTCCTTTGTAGGTAACCTGCTGTTTATCTCTTGCTGCCTTTAGGATTCTCTCTTTGTTTTAATTTTTGGCATTTTAATTACTGTGTGTCTTGGTGTGGGCCTGTTTGGGTTCTTACTTGGGGCTCTATGTGCTTCTTGAACTTGAATGCCGTCTTCCTTCACCAAGTTAGGAAAGTTTTCTGTCACTATTTTTTCAAATATATTCTCTAACCTTTGCTCATTTTTCTCTTCTTCGGGGACACCTATGATGCAAATATTATTAAATTTCCAGTTGTCCCACAGTTCTCTTAAACTGTCTTCCTGTTTTTTAATTGTTTTCTCCTTGGTTGATTTTTTGCTACTCTGTCTTCTAATTCACTGATCCAGTCCTCAGCTTCCTCTACTCTGCTGTTTAGTCATTCCAATGTGTTCCTTATTTCTGCTATGTCATTCTTCATTTCCACTTAGTTGGTTTTCAATGCTTCTATATCTTTACTCATAGTGTTGAGGTCCTTACTCATGCTGTTGAGCTTCCTCAAGATCATGGCTCTAAATTCTACCTCTGATAACATGCTTAACTGCATTTCATTTATCTCATCTTCAGTAGAGGTCTCTTGTTCTTTTCTTTGGTATTTGTTTCTTTGTTTCACCATTTTGGCTATCTCAGTGGGTTTAGGAGCCTGCCAAATTTTCCCCATGTATGATGGTGTTGTGCTGTTTGTGGCTCCCTCTACTGGGTTTGGATGAGCATTGGAGGTCACACTTTAAACACCACTGTCAAGTCTTACTTTCCTGGGTAGATTTGCAAACCCAGAAATGGTTCAGTTATCCTCTAGCTTTTTGCCTGGAGGCTATTAGTCAGGGTTACTTGAAGAGCCTTGGGTTCTCAATTGAATGAAAAACTCACTTTGGTGTTCAGCATAAGAGGATTTCCCGAGGGTGGGTCAGATGCTGGTTGTTAATGAACTTCAATTTGCATTTCAATGGTTCACCTGGGTGAGATTTAATCTCCAAGGGAGGGACCACTGCCTCTCCCCAGAGCCCTAGGAAGGAATAAGATGGCCACCAACCTGCATGGTCACAACTCAGCAAAAGCTCTGAGCACCCTCCAAACCTGAGTGTCCCCACACAGTTCCAGTCCAGTCTGCCCTCCTTCTGACGGAACCCAAAGTGAGTGGCTGTGGCTATTTTAGCACTCTGTCCCAGCCCTCTCCACTGTGGAGTGGGCTTGGGATTTTAACCCTGAGAGTACTGCTCACAGCTAAGACTGCTGCTGTCCATGGGCTCCCAGCCCCCCTCACACCGCTGCAATTCTACCAGGATCTATTCAGTGTCCCTGGCTATATGGTCTTCACAAGTTGCTTTTCTGTTGCTTTTTTCTGACGATTTGCCTTTATTTTAGTTGTAATTTCAGTTTGGTCCTGGGAGATAGTCTGTGTAGCTTCCATTCACTCTGCCACCATTTTAGAATCCCTCATCGATGTTTCTATCTCACTCTTCCTCTCCCTTCCTCTCTCTCTCAAATCAATAAAGAAAAAATGGTAATAACCTTAAGTGTAAATGGGTTAAGTGTTCCAATTAAAAGATATAGTGTAGCTGAATGGATAAGAAAACATGACCCATATATATGCTGTCTACAAGAAACCCACCTCAGAACAAAAGATCACACAAGCTGAAAGTGAAGGTATAGAAAAAAATTCCATGCAAATGGAAAGAAACAAACTAAAAAAGCTGTGGTAGCAGATGTTATATCTGAAAAAATAGACTTAAAAACAAAGATATAACCAAAGACATAGAAAGTCACTCACTAGATAATATTAAAGGGATTGATCCAACAAGAGGATAGAACTCTGGTAAATACATATGCACAGTAGGGGACCCCACTGTCATCACTGGATAGCTCTTCCAGACAAAAAAATCAATAAGAAAACAGTGACCTTAAACGACACACTAGATTAGAATGAATTTATTTGATATTTACAGAACATTTCATCCCAAAGCAGCTGAATATATATTCTTCTCAAGTACACATAGAACATTCTCAAATATAGACCACATGTTAGGACACAAAATAAGTCTTAACAGACTAAGAAGATTGAAATCATATCAAGCATCTTCTCAGATCACAATGTCATGAAACTAGAAATTCACTAAAATAAAAAACTCAAAAACATTCCAACATATGGAGGCTAAATAGCATGTTATTAAACAATGACTGGGTTATGAATGAGATTAAAGAAGAAATGAAAAAATTACCTGAAAACAAATGAAAATGAATACATAACAACCCAAAATCTATGGCACACAGCAAAAGCAGTCCTGAAAGGGGAGTTCTAAGCATTAGAGGTCTACCTCAAGAAGGAAGAAAAATAAGAAATAAAAAATCTAACCCTACATCTAAAAGAACTATAAAAAGAACAATAAGAAAAGCCCAGAGGACAGAAGATGGCAGTGGGCAAAACCAGAGGGAGGGTGAGTGTGTGCAAGAGTGAGCTAGTGGGTGAGAGAGTGTGAGTGGACCTAAAGGTGGACGATCAAATTCCTGCAGTGCAGAGACATGGAGCAGAAGGTTCCTGTGCTGTGGACAGGGAACAGCCCAATACTGCGGTAAGCAGCTCCTCAGGGCGCTTCTCCATGAAACGCGAGGAGGTCCAACCATTTTGGAAGATCCTGGGCCTTCCCTATGAGGAGGCAGTGGGAGTGGCTAGGGCCGATCAACCTGAGCCCAACAGTGCACCTTGCACCATCGGAACATGGGCACTCTGTGTCAAAACAGACCAGTGCAAAATAATGGCACTCCCAAGGTGCCGGTCGCAGAAGCCGCAGATAGCCGGGAGCCCAGCACCATCCCACATAGTAGCAGCATGATTTGAGTTGAGATATACCCCCAGTAACAGAGGCTGGGGAGCAGACATCCATCCCCAGGCAACAGAAGCACAGACGCATTGCCAAAAACTACAGCAAAAGCTGAGCAGGAGTCGAGCCCCATGGGGCAGCAGCACTTCCCAGCCAGCAGTGGCAGGACCTGGGGCTCCACAGAGGTTGGTGCAGTCCAGACGTTCACAAGAGCAGTGGGAAGCCAGAGCCTGAAAGGGACTAGTGTGATCCACCTGCCTGCCCACAGGACCTGCAAGGTGCGGGGGCACCAGAGAGGCTGCTGCGACCCAGTAGCCCACAATACCAGTTGGAGGCCAGAGCCCGAGAGGGACTGGTGTGATCCAACTGCCTTCCCACAAAACCTGCAGGGTGCAGGGGCACCAGAGAGGCCTGTGTGACCCAGCAGGGACTATGCCATCCAGTTACCCACAGGACCTGCAGGGTGCGGGGGCACCAGAAAGGCCTGTGCAACCAAGCTGCACACAAGAGAGGTTTAGAGGATGTGAAAATGAAGGCGGAGTAAATAGAAGCTACGCAGAGGATCTCCAAGGACGAAATGGGAATTACAATTAAAATAAAGACAAATCCTCGAAAAACAGCAAGAGAAAAGCAGCAGGACAGGTCCATATAACCAGGGACACCGGTAGGATCTGCAGAGGCACGAGAGGGTGGTGGGCTGGGAGCACAGGGAAAGCAGCAGTCTTAGCTGTGAGCAGTGCCCTTGGGGAATAAAGACCAAGCCCACTCCACAGGGCAGAGAATCAGAACACAGCGCTAAAATAGCCATAGCCGCCCTGGCCGGTTTGGCTCAGCGGTTAGAGCATCGGCCTGCGGTCCAGAGAGACCCGGGTTCGGTTCCCGCTAAGGGCATGTACCTCGGTTGCAGTTTGTCCCCGGCCCTGGTTGGTCGTGCGGGTGGCAGCCACTCGATATGTCCCTTTCACATCGATGTTTCTCTCTCTCTCTCTCCCTCCTGCTCTACCTGAACAAAGAATGAAAAAGTGTCCTCGGGTGAGGATAAAAAAAAAAAAAAAAAGAAATAGCCATAGCCACTCACCTGGGGGCTACAGCAGAGGGAGGACAGACTGGGCTGGAAATCTCTGGGGACACCCAGGATTTGGAAGGCATTCAGAGTTTTTTGATGAGTTGCAGCCTCAAAGGACGATGGCCAGTGTGTTCCTTCCCAGACCTGTGGGGAAAATCAGCAGCACCCCCCCACACACACTGAGAGATTCAGCCTTTCCCAGGTGAGGCAAAGAAATGCAAATTGAGGCTCATTAACAACCACCATCTATCCCACCCTCTGGAAATCCTCTTATGCAGAACACCAGGGCTACATTCCAAGGCACTGAGTAACTGAAACTACTAGCCACCAGGAAAAAGCTAGAGGATAACTGAACCTTTCCTGGGCTTGCAAATCTACCCAGGAAAGTAAGACTTGACAGTGGTATTTAAGGTGGGCCCATCCAGGCTCATCCAAATTCAGTAGAGAGAGCCACAAACAGCAGAACACCAACACTGACAGGGAAAATTTGTCAGGCTCCAAAACCCACTGAGATAGTCAAAATTTTGAAACAAAGAAACAAATCCCAAATGGAAGAACAAGAGATCTCTATCAAAGATGAGAAAAATGAAATGCAGCTAAGCAAATTATCAGAGGTAGAGTACAGAGCCATGATCTTGAGGAAGCTCAACAGCATGAGTGAGGACATCAGCACCATGAGTAAAGATATAGAAACACTGAAAACCAACCAAGTGCAAATGAAGAATGACAGAGCATAAATTAAGAACATTGGAAGAACTAACCGGCAGAGTAGACGAAGCTGAAAACCAGATCAGTGAATTAGAAGATAGATAGGGTACAAAAAATCAACCAATCAGAAAACCAAAAGGAGAAAACAATTAAAACACAGGAAGACAGTTTAAGAGAACTGTGGGGCAACTGCAAACGTATTAACATTCACATAATAGGAGTCCCCGAAAAAGAAGAAATGGGCAAGGGTTAGAGAATATATTTGAAAAAACTAGTGACAGAAAACTTTCCTAATTGGTGAAGGAAAAAGGCATTCAAGTTGAAGATATGCAGAGAGCCCCGAGCAAGAAGAACCCAAACAAGCCCACAACAAGACACAGTAAATAAAATGCCAAAAAATTAAAACAAAGAGAGAATCCTAAAGTCAGCAAGAATAAGAAACAGGTTACCTACAAAGGAAATACCATAAAGCTCTCAGCTGACTTCTCAACAGAAACACTACAGACCAGAAGGCAGGGGCATGAAGTAATCAAGGTCATGAAAAATAAGGATCTGAATCCAAGACTACTCTATCCAGCAAGGCTACCATTCAAAATAGAAGGGCAAATAAAATAGCTTTCTTGACAAAAAAAAAAAAAAGACTAAGGAAATATATTAACACCAAACCAGCACTGCAAGATATGCTGAAAGAACTGCTATAATTAGTAGAAGAAATAGGAAGAAAAATATAACCACATTAAAAAAAATGGCAATAAATAAGTACATATCAATTATTACCTTAAATGTGAATGGTTTGAATACTCTGATAAAAAGACACAGAGTAGTTGACTAGATATGAAAGCATGACTCACATATATGTTGTTTACAAGAAAACCACCTCACAACAAAAGACTCACATAGGTTGAAAGTGAAGGGATGGGGAAAAAATCTTTCAAGCAACCAGAAAGCAAAAAAAAGCTGGGGTAGCAATATTCATACCTGATAAAGTAAATTTCAAAATGAAGACCATAACTAGAGATAAAGAAGGCCACTACATAATATTGATAGGATCTATCCAACAGGAAGATATAACCTTGGGAAATGTATATGCACCAAATATAGGAACACCAACATATATTAAAAATCTTTTGGAGGACTTCAAAGGAGAAATCAACAGCAATACAATCATAGCAGAGGACTTCAATATCTCGCTGACATCACTGGATAGATGTTCTAGACAAAAAATTAACAAGAAAACACAGACTCTAAATGAAGCGCTAGATCAAATGAATTTAATAGATATCTACAGAGAATTACACCCCAAAACTACAGAATTCACATTCTTCTCAAGTGCACAGAGGACGTTCTCAAAAATAGACCACATGTAGGGCACAAACTCTCTACAAGTTCAAGAAGATTGAAATCTTATCAAGCATCTTCTCACATCACAATGGCATGAAACTAGAAATCAATTGCAAGAAGAACATGCAAAGACATTTGAACACATGGAGGCTAAAGAGCATGTTATTGAACAATGAATAGGTTACCATGGAGATCAAGGAAGAAACTAAAAACTTCCTGGAAACCAATAAAAATTAACACACAACAACACAAAATCTATAGGATGCAGCGAAAGCAGTTCTGAGAAGAAAGTTCATAGCACTACAGGCCTACTTCAAGAAGCAAGAAAAATTTCTAATAGACTATCTAATCTCACAACTTAGAGAACTAGAAAGCAAACAAAAAGAAAACCCCAGAGCAAGTAGAAGGAAGGAAATAGTAAAGATCAGAGCAGAAATAAATGACATGGACAACAAAAAAACAATTCAAAGGATCAATGAAACAAAGAGCTGATTCTTTGAAAATATAAACAAGATCGATGGACCCTTAGCTAGAAACACCAAGAAACAAAGAGAGAGAACACAAATACACAAAATCAGAAATGAAAGAGGAGAAATAATAACCGACACCACAGAAATACAACAATTGTTAACAAATATTATGAACAATTATACGTCAAAAAATTCGATAATCTAAGCAAAATGGACCCATTTATAGAAACACATAGTATACCAAAACTGAACTGGAAAGAGATAGGAGACTGGAACAGACCAATAACAAAAGAAGACATTAAAGATGTAATCAAGACTCTTCCAGCAAACAAAACCCCACTCCTGACATTTTACGGAGCATTCACAGAAGAACTATTACCCATTCTCCTCAAACTATGTCAAAAAATTCAAGAAGAAGGAAGACTTCCAAACTCGTTTTATGAGGTTTTCTAATTCCAAAACCAGAAAAGACACTACAAAGAAAGAAAATTACAGGCCATTATCTGTGATGAACATAGATGTCAAAATCCTGAACAAAATACTAGCAATTCGAATCCAGCAATACATGAAAAAAATTATTCACCATGACCAAGTGGGATTCATCCCAGGGATGCAAGGCTGGTACAATATTTGCAAATCAATAAAGGTGATACACCACATAAACAAAATGAAAGATAATAATCATATGATCATGTCAATAGACGCTAAGTAACCATTCAAAAAAAATCCAGCACCCACTTCTGATAAAAACGCTCAGCAATCTGGGAATAGAGGGATCATATCTCGACATAATAAAGGCCATATATGAAAGACCAACAGCCAACATCATACTCAATGGGCAAAAACTAAAAGCATTTCCCTTAAGAACAGGAACAAGATAAAGATGCCCACTTTCGCCACTCTTACTTAACATAGTACTGGAAGTCTTAGCCACAACACTCTAGAAGAAAAAATGAAAGGGATCCAAATTGGAAAGTAGGAAGTGAAACTGTTGTTATTCGCAGATGACATGATACTATATGTAGAAAACCCCAAAGACTCCATCAAAAATTTACTAGACTTAATAAGTGAATTTGGAAAAGTAGCAGGATACAAAATTAACATCAAGAAATCAGTGGCATTCTTATACACCAATGATTAAGTCACAGAAAGAGAAACTAAAAAAACAATCCCATTTATCATCGCGGCAAAAAATTAAGATACCTAGGAATAAACTTAACCAAAGAAATAAAGGACCTATTCACAGAAAACTGCAGGCCATTGAAAAAAGAAATAGAGAAAGATATAAAAAAAAGTGGAAGCACATACCTTGTTCATGGATCGGAAGAATTAACATCATTAAAATGTCCATACTAGAGGTTTCGAAAAATGGCAGCAGAGTGAATGGAAGCTACACAGACCATCTCCCGGGACC